TGATTTTACTAATCTGTAGATGATATTAAAAAATTTAGGTAGGGGTTGGATTTTTCGGGTTTTGGTGGCAAACAGCTCCCCTATTGTTATGGTTTAGTTTTAGGAATTTTGGGGTATAGATTTACATAATACTATAGTTAATGTTACCGAGTCGGTTTATTCCCTGTCATCTATTACATACTATTAATTTTGTTTCTCTGACATCTAAAATATTTAATGCGTATTAATGAATTAAACAGAGTAAGGATCGCAAAAGGATATTTTTTGAATCGAGAAAACACAAAAGGTAAGTATTTAAATGGATTTCATTTTTAGTAGTGTCGATGGTAAAAATAAATCAAAAAATAAATTCTAAAAAATCAACCAATAGAATTGCTAGAATTCTTCTGAGAAAGGCTATGTGAGTGCCACATGTCAAAGTGACTTCTCTTTTAATGTATAGGGGGATCTTTCTAATTGTCCAATGGTGGAGCCAGAGACATTTTGTACTAGGGTCAAAAAAATTTAGTAAGGACAAAATTTTATTTTTAATGGGGTTAATACAATTTTTCTTAAGCAAAAATAAATATTTTACAAATTTTTCTAAAGTAATTTTTCCCCTTTTTTTTTCTAAATTAATGGGGTCAACTGACCCACTTGTTACACATAACCTCCACCCCTGCTTAGATCCGACCCTAAACTATTACGGAGTGGGTAAATAATATGACTGGATTTCATAATGTGATATTTTGATATCGAGTCTCGATTCGGTTTAATTCAATAACTAAATAATCCGACTAAACTGAACATTTATGACTTATATTCACAGGGCCGGTTCAATATAAACATGGGCATTTGGGCAAAATTTATTTTGGTCCCCTATAATTAGTTAAATTTTAGTGTTTAATTGTTTTTAATATTATTATTTTTTTGGATTTTTGGTCTTACGCATGTGCATCAAAACATGCACATATTAACTAAAGAAACTGTAATTAAATATACTAATGAAGATAATTAAGACCCCTAAAATTATTAGATGCAAAGCGGGCTCCAGAGCGATCGCACTAACCGTCCTCCCTACTTAGCCGACCATGTATATTTATACATACATGATACATACTTGCATGTGTTATGGATAGGCCTGGGCAATCGGGTGACCATTCGGGTTCGGGTCGGGTCTAATCAGGATTTGGTTCTTCGGATTTACGAAAATCAATCCCATTCGGATATTATAAAAGTTCGGTTCGGTCTCGGTTCGGATTCTATCGGGTTCGGGTCGGGTTCTGTAGCACATCTAAAACCCGGTTAAACCCATTTAATTTTTGGGTTTGATTCTAAACCGGGTTTCGGTTATCCAAACTACTCATAGTACCCGAAATACCTCAAATTACCCGAAAATATAAACCTGTTATCTTGTTTCCTGAAACACTTATATACTTTTAAAGTCTTGATTGCTAAAATATAAATAGGATACAAAGGGAACACATCATAAACATAAACATGTAAAGAGTGAACATACATAGTTTCAGTTTCAAACACACTTTGAAAACTCAATACATGACATGCTTTACACGAACACAAGTACACAACTATCTCAAAATGAAGAAGAAGAGTACTTAGAAAAATGACTCAAAGTAATCAGCAATAATGAAATAAACTCCAAAGAACCTTTATTAAACTTTAACAGAAAACAAACTTGTGCTTAATAAACCTTAAAAGCAACTCTCGAAACAGAGTTTATCTCTAATGAGGTCAAAGTTAAAATAAAAAGCAAAGAAAACACTAAAACACCAAAACAGAAACAGAAACAAAAAGACTTCAAAATTCCAGAGCAATCTCCAGTCTTCAATTCTCACACTCCCAAATTCTGAAGCGAGAAACAAAACTAAAGGTGAGTGAGCTACAAATCTGTCAATGCTGTCAGATTCCTCTCAATTGTCACTATCTCACCATAGCATTTGTAGGAGTTCAACTTTGAGGAAGCTGACACAACGAGTGTGCTATTGTAGAAGATGACCATGAACCTTTTTAGCTTCTCCACAGCATTCCAGTCACCAAGACCAGGCGGTCCATACCTCTTAACACCATTTTCTACTTCTAAAAAGTAGTCATTGTA